GAATGCTGTGGTAACCATGCTGGTTTAGTGTGCCTTGAATTCTAAATAAATCACAGACAGTGTCACCAGCAAAGCACCCCCACACCATAACACCTCCTCCTCCATGCTTTACGGTGGGAACTACTCATGCAGAGATCATACGTTCACCCACACCGCGTCTCACAAAGACACGGCGGTTTGAACCAAAAATCTCCAATTTGGACTCCAGACCAAAGGACACATTTCCACCGGTCTAATGTCCATTGGTCGTGTTTCTTGGCCCAAGCAGGTCTCTTATTATTATTGGTATCCTTTAGTAGTGGTTTCTTCGACCATGAAGGCCTGATTCACACAGTCCCCTCTGAACAGTTGATGTTGAGATGTGTCTGTGACTTGAACCCTGTGAAGCATTTATTTAAGCTGCAATTTCTGAGGCTGGTAACTCTAATGAACTTATCCTCTGCAGCAGAGGTAACTCTGGGTCTTCCGTTCCTGTGGTGGTCCTCATGAGAGCCAGTTTCATCATAGCGCTTGATGGTTTTTGCGACTGCACTTGAAGAAACTTTCAAAGTTCTTGAAATGTTCCGTATTGACTGACCTTCATGTCTTAAAGTAATGATGGACTATCGTTTTTCATTGCTTATTTGAGCTGTTCTTGCCATAATATGGGCTTGGTATTTTACCAAATAGGGCTATCTTCTGTCTACCCCCCCTACCTTGTCACAACACAACTGATTGGCTGAAATGCATTAAGAAGGAAAGAAATTCCACAAATTAACTTTTAACAAGGCACACCTGTTAAGTGAAATGCATTCCAGGTGACTACCTCATTAAGCTGGTTGAGAGAATGCCAAGAGTGTGCAAAGCTGTCATCAAGGCAAAGGGTGGCTGTTTGAAGAATCTCAAATATAAAATATATTTAGATTTGTTTAACACTTTTTTGGTTATTACATGATTCCATATGTGTTATTTCATAGTTTTGATGTCTTCACCATTATTCTACATTGTAAAATTTTTTACATATAAAGAAACACCCTTGAATTAGAAGGTGTGTCCAAACTTTTGACTGGTAGTGTACATATTGAATTTGAATATTAAATTAAATTAAATTTGAATTTGAAAACTGAATACAATATTAATTCAATTCATTTTCAAATCATGAATACACATTCAATTTATTAATTCAATGATTCCATTTTCGCATTACAAATTTTAAAAGGTTTAATTCAAATTAAATTAAAAAATATTGAATTTCAATAGTTTCTGTTGGCAATGAATCGTACATTTCTTAACATTTCAACTATATTCAATTATTTTAAAAATTAAATTCCACAAAGTGAACACTCATCATAATAAAGTTATCTTTCTTGTGATGTATGTGTCGAGACAGTGCGTTAAATCCCTGACGAAGCTTTAGCGTTCTTATTGATTCAACAGAAAGACAATGTATTGCATTTAGCCCATTACAGCCGTTACCGGGGTGTGTTTGACAGGTCATTACAAACATTTCCGCGGTCGTAACGTTAACGGGGAAAAATTACAGGCACAAGGAAGCAAGAGTATGAAAGAGTCGCAGGAGTCAAATGAAAGCAATCAATCCAGCAAGATTTAAGTGACAAGTGGATTTTGCACCCCTCTAACACAGGAAATAGATGGCTGAAAAAGACAGATTCTCAAGTGGGAGGGGCATGCGAAGATGTATCTGCAGGGTTTGGACTATGTAGTGCTAAAAAACACACACACACATCTTTCTCTCATTGTACAACTTTCTTCTCACTGTGTTCCAGATGAGGCCAGATCAATCCAGTCTCACGTTGTTCACACAGTGAGTTTGTTCTCCTCGTTCTATAGATTGTGTTGTTTTAAGGCAACGCATAGCACCTGTTGAGGCTGTGGGTGTAGGCATCGTAATGCTGTGTGTAGGACAGGGAGCAGGGAGGCTGTTTGGCTGGGAGTTGCAGGGTGACGCCACACTGCATGCCAAGGGTAGCCCTGGGCCGCTATGCAGGCAGCTGAGAGCCAAGAAACCCAGAGAGAGGGTTGGTGGGAGGGGAGGTAAACTGAATGAACTTCAATACCATTACACACACGGACTCACACACTCACGCACACACCCTCATGCACACACACACAACGCCTTCAGACTCCAGTAGAGGGGCGGTAGTGTAGTGCTAGTGCACATATATAACCTCTTTAGCTGACAGCTGCTCCCTGCTAAAATACACTGAAGGAAAACAGATCTGGCTCCCCAACTACCCTGCTGACCCGGCATATATACACTTCTGGTATTTTCTAACCACAGAATGTTTAAAGCATTGCCTTGCTTTAAAAAAAACTCATTTGGACCTCAATAGGGTCACATGAAATGTAACATTTTCCAAGACATCCTTTGGGGGTCAGGGGACAAAGGTCATGTAATTTCTTACGAACAAAGAAGTCATTGTTCAACACAGCCAAATATCAACCCCAGTTTCTGAGTGTGAGCGACCTACATTTAAAATGTTTTACCTTGTATAGTCATGCTTTTACTACAGTGGGGAGAACAAGTATTTGATACACTGCCGATTTTGCAGGTTTTCCTACTTACAAAGCATGTAGAGGTCTGTCATTTTTAACATAGGTACACTTCAACTGTGAGAGACGGAATCTAAAACAAAAATCCAGAAAATCACATTGTATGATTTTTAAGTAATTAATGTGCATTTTATTGCATGACATAAGTATTTGATACATCAGAAAAGCAGAACTTAATATTTGGTACAGAAACATTTGTTTGCAATTACAGAGATCATACGTTTCCTGTAGGTCTTGACCAGGTTTGCACACACTGCAGCAGGGATTTTGGCCCACTCCTCCACACAGACCTTCTCCAGATCCTTCAGGTTTCGGGGCTGTCGCTGGGCAAAACAGACTTTCAGCTCCCTCCAAAGATTTTCTATTGGGTTCAGGTCTGGAGACTGGCTAGGCCACTCCAGGACCTTGAGATGCTTCTTACGGAGCCACTCCTTAGTTGCCCTGGCTGTGTGTTTCGGGTCGTTGTCATGCTGGAAGACCCAGCCATGACCCATCTTCAATGCTCTTACTGAGGGAAGGAGGTTGTTGGCCAAGATCTCGCGATACATGGCCCCATCCATCCTCCCCTCAATACGGTGCAGTCGTCCTGTCCCCTTTGCAGAAAAGCATCCCCAAAGAATGATGTTTCTACCTCCATGCTTCACGGTTGGGATGGTGTTCTTGGGGTTGTACTCATCCTTCTTCTTCCTCCAAACACGGCGAGTGGAGTTTAGACCAAAAAGTTCTATTTTTGTCTCATCAGACCACATGACCTTCTCCCATTCCTCCTCTGGATCATCCAGATGGTCATTGGCAAACTTCAGATGGGCCTGGACATGCGCTGGCTTGAGCAGGGGGACCTTGCGTGCGCTGCAGGATTTTAATCCATGACGGCATAGTGTGTTACTAATGGTTTTCTTTGAGACTGTGGTCCCAGCTCTCTTCAGGTCATTGACCAGGTCCTGCCGTGTAGTTCTGGGCTGATCCCTCACCTTCCTCATGATCATTGATGCCCCACGAGGTGAGATCTTGCATGGAGCCCCAGACCGAGGGTGATTGACCGTCATCTTGAACTTCTTCCATTTTCTAATAATTGCGCCAACAGTTGTTGCCTTCTCACCAAGCTGCTTGCCTATTGTCCTGTAGCCCATCCCAGCCTTGTGCAGGTCTACAATTTTATCCCTGATGTCCTTACACAGCTCTCTGGTCTTGGCCATTGTGGAGAGGTTGGAGTCTGTTTGATTGAGTGTGTGGACAGGTGTCTTTTATACAGGTAACGAGTTCAAACAGGTGCAATTAATACAGGTAATGAGTGGAGAACAGGAGGGCTTCTTAAAGAAAAACTAACAGGTCTGTGAGAGCCGGAATTCTTACTGGTTGGTAGGTGATCAAATACTTATGTCATGCAATAAAATGCAAATTAATTACTTAAAAATCATACAATGTGATTTTCTGGATTTTTGTTTTAGATTCCGTCTCTCACAGTTGAAGTGTACCTATGTTAAAAATGACAGACCTCTACATGCTTTGTAAGTAGGAAAACCTGCAAAATCGGCAGTGTATCAAATACTTGTTCTCCCCACTGTATATACGGGTGTGTCATGCTAAGTGGATGGCCTTTTCTGTGAATCAAATGAGAATTCTAGAGCATGGGGAGATATATGAACCAAAATCCCACTATGACATCAACACATGGCTAGGCTACAGGAGATGCTAATTGGGTGGCTGTTGTCTTGGAAATGCTGGAACATGGAGCAAACCAACACTTGCCAAGGCTTGGCTTGCTAGACTCCGCCTAGACTCAATGGAGAGACTGGATCGGTGTTTTGGCATGAGATGGGATAGTAACTTATTATTATGGTGAGAAAAAAACGAAAGGAAGAGGCAAGGGATGGGCTCACCAGCTGCTGTCCACATCAAGGTTTGTTTACTATCTGTAATAGACCATTTGCATTAGGTGTTGAGCTGACTTATTGGGTTACATGCAAATTAGGACTTTAGTGCGTGGAATGCTCGAGGGGTGCCTAAGGTCACGTCCTGTTGTCCTAGCAGTGGTGCACATTACCCAGAGGTCAGAGGTCGCGCTTCATTGAGGTTCTCAGAAAAGGCTCCCCCCGACCCCACATCTGTGCCCTTTAGAGCTTCTAAAGCCCAGGAACTCAGACATTCAATATCCTTCAACGTTGGTACGGTAATGCTACAGTATATGCACTATATTTTCACAGGTGTGGATCCTCATCCTACTGATCACAAAGGCTTGCATCCCAAATGGCACCCTCTTCCCTATATAGTGCATTACTTTTGACCAGAGCCCTACTGATCCCCAAATGATTAAGAGACTCCAGAAAAATAAACTTTTAAGGTTTTCAATAATTTGGTCAGCAGTGATACCTGAAGCCACGCAGGGTGGGTGGGTGTGAGAAGAGAGAAGCTGCTGAGAGCTCTGGGCAACAGTGGTGGGCTCACCAACCAAGGAGGAACTCACACACACACACAAACACACACACACAGGAAAATGAGCACCACTTCAGCGTACCTAACTAACAGAGGGGAGTGTGTTGTGGTCGGTGGGGTTCTGGAATGTTGGCCACCAAAAAAAGGGAGGGCTTGAATCAAGCACTGAGATGTAACATGCTTGCTGTATTGCGTACTGTCCACAGTCCCTCTCACCCCAAACTCCCTTAGTTAGTGGAAGTGTATGTGGGAGAAAAGAATGCTTCTCTGTTGACCCCTGAGGCTAAATATCTCTTTGGTTCAGAGTTTAACCACACCAAACAATTACTCAGCACTCCAAGCATCCCACTGGGCACAGACGTCATTTCAACATCAAGTTTTGATTTACATTTGGTTGAGTTGTCAACTAATGCAAATTCAACAAAAAAATTCACAATTTCATTGGATTTAGGTTCAATGTAAAATACTAGATTTACTTACGTTGATGACTTTTTTTAAATCCAATCAGTTTCCACAGTGATTCAATCATCACATTGATTATTTTCAACCAGTTCTTGCCCAGTGGGATGTCTCTCACACCCTCACATGCTCTTTCGCGTTAGCTGAGGCATGCAGGCAGGCAGCACTCTGACTGCCAGTTAGACCATGCAGCTAACAAGCCACACAGTCAGGAGAGTTGGGCCCGAGTAGAGACCTACAAGGCCTTGCTAAAACACACTGGGATGAATGTAGCCCACGGCCCTGGGGTGGGGTGAAGAGAGGGCAGAGACTGGCTCAGACTACACAAGGAGAAGGGATGTGTCCCATTTGGCACATTATTGCCTATGGACCCTGGTCAAAAGTAGGTACCAGACAAGGCTACCTCGCTCACCTGTAGTTTACCACTCTCAGCACATAGCCTAGGCCTACAGTACATCCTGGTCCTCAGGCTCATCATATGGCGAGCTGTACAATGTACTTCACACAATGGTTGTGACTGATACAACTGATATTTATGTGATACAATAAACCAGGGTTACTCAACTACTATTTGAGAAGGTCCGGATGGATATTGTTATTTATTGGCGTATTAACAAACCCCCACCTCGCAACGCAGGTAAGCCCAAACTGTTAACACCCCTCTTGTAGGCGGAGAGAAAGTTTTGCAGTTTTAAAGAGTCTTTCCTGCAATTCTACACATTTTGGCATGGGGTGGAGAGAAAATGTTGCAGTTTTAAAGCTAATTTCCTACAATTCTACACATTTTGCCATGTCAACCTTCTCAGTAACAGTTACAGAAACGTTTTACTTACTGTAACTGTGATATGTTGTTGTTTATCTACCTTAGTTGAATGCACTGACTGTAAGTCACTCTGGATAAGAGTGTCTGCTAAATGACGAAAACGTAAATACGAAAATGAACATACCAAAATGAACTGCAAAGCACACTGGGTATTATTATTGGCCTTATGTCAGGCGGAGCTCATTAGAATAATACTCAGCATGCTTTGCAATTGTCAATTTTTACATGTACAATTATATTTCATTAATTTATAAGATGCTCTTATCACACCATAGTGCCATCAGACTTCTGATACCAATGCAGGGTGAGAGGGGGCCACAAAATTGTGAACCGCTATAAAAAATGGTATTGAAAATACAAATTACAGCTCTCGGAAGTATCTTGTTACAAAATACATTGGAGTGTAGTTCAACCCAGTGTAATACAAATTACAGAATACTCAGAAGTAATTGCAATACATATTTCAAATACATGTAACAGAAATACTGCCCATCTCTGCTGACAGGTTATACAAAGCTCTCTAAGAGGAAAACTGCCTTCTACTATTACAACTCTCAACAGCAGTAAGTTAAAAGCAAGACTGATTTCCCAAAAAATAAAAAAATATAACAAAAATAAAGTCGGGACCCGTGGTCCATATTGACACTGTTCTGGGTCCGGATCCGGACCGCGGTCCGCCTGTTGAGTATGGTTGCAATAGACTTTGTCTGCGCAAAAATTATTACACAACCATTCCACTGTGCCTCTACAGCACTTTTGTAATTATTTTTATAACAAATATCTCTCCGTTGTATCACAACCGTTGTGCCAAAAGTGTACAACTTAATGTGTACGGGCCTAGGTGTTTCTGAAATAAGTAGCATGGGACAGCCTGACTGGATGATGTTCAGGACAGGACTAAAAGAGCTGTGAGAAAGATGGTTCTCAGACTCTATATTATTTTTCTAACTCAACCTAAAGGGCTATAAAACACACTCTCTGATGTGGTTCTATTTACATAAAACTCAACTTGGCAGAGGGACACTACGGTTGCATCCCAAATGGTACCCTATTTCCTATATAGTGCACTACTTTTGACCAGAGCCTAATCACCAAATCTGCACATTCTCTGCTTCATGCCTCATTGATGCAGTTGAGCTAAGTTCCCCTACAAAAACACAATGTGCAAAGAAATGCTTAGTCTGAAGAATGACTTTAACAAATTTAATAACCACTGTAGGTAAGCATCTGTTTACAGGACTGATTTCAGTTCTTGCATGAAAGACAAGGTTTTGAAACACTAACACACACTTCCTGACCCCCACCCCAATTTCCTGTTGCAAAGAAATATTCACATTCTGTCATCACAAAATATGGTGCTGACGCCTATATATCTAGATTCAGATACACACACCATACTTGGCACAAAATGTAAATATAAATACATATATTATTGAATTCATTATTATATAACTTTTTTCATGATGTAAACATAAAAAATTTAAAAAACATATCACCTCCAAGAATTCTGAAAAAGAATGATAAAAGTAAGTACTCAGACAGAAATAGCCCTAACCGCTCACCGCATCATGTTTTACAAGTCCATTTCTTAAACTGACCACTGCATATCTTAGAAAAGAATACATAATATGAACTTATATGAACACTGACATTCTAAACAACATCTCGTCTGGAAAATCATTCGTTCACAGATACATATACTGTAAAGTAGTAGTACAAAAAGTCTAATTTTAAGGAAGGAAAATATCATTGGCCATTACACAATATTGTTTCCAAATGTTCCTCAACATAATTTCAACTTTTAACATAGATACAGTGAATCAATCAGTCACATTTTACGTGAAAATACAACAACAAAAATCTTGCCAGCCAGCGAGCGAGGTAGCAATGTTGCGCAACCAACCACACCAGAAAATGGCCTCGTAGGCACTGGTGCAGCAGAAAGGCAGAACTCATGAAAATATCTACTTTTACTTGTAGAAATATCTACTTTTACTTGTAGAAGTATGTTACAGTTGTGTAAACAGGTGACTAATCCTACTGTTCTGGGCCCCTCCTCATACCCCTCCAAGTGTTCCACCTCCAAGGGCCTCACCCAGGAGGCCCCTAACAACAAACTCCACTCCCCCTGACCAGGGTCGTATTCATATTCACTAGGCACCAAACAGAAGAAAAAATACTAAAACAGGGAGGTCCAATAACCTGGACTGGTCCAATAAGAAATTCTAATTTTCCGTTGCGAAACGTTTTGAAACGTTGCGTGCCCTAATGTATACACCCCTGTCCAGGCTCGGAGCTCAGATCTCGGTCAGTGTCAGCAGGACCTTCCCCCCCACCTCCTCCATGCGGATGTGGAAGGCATCCTCGTTGGAGTAATGCTTGATGATGTTGTCGTCCATATGAACTAGGATCCTACAGATAAGACAGTAGAAGTGATTTACTTCTTTCAAAGTGGAGTTTACTCTATATTTTTACATTTTACATTTTAGTCATTTAGCAGACGCTCTTATCCAGAGCGACTTACAGTTAGTGCATACATATATATATATATTTTTTTTTCATACCCCCTGTGGGAAACGAACCCACAACCCAGGCGTTGCAAACGCCATGCTCTATCTACTGAGCTACATCCCTGCCGGCCATTCCCTCCCCTACCCTGGACGAGCCTGGATTCGAACCAGGATCTCTAGTGGCACAGCTAGCACTGCGATGCAGTGCCTTAGACCACTGCGCCACTCGGGAGACAATAACATCTATAAACATGTTATAGATTATCTACTTTTATGCGTCCCAAATGGCACCATATTTCCTGTATAGTGCACTACTTCTGACAGAGCCTTATGGCGCTGGTCAAAAGTAGTGCACTATATAGAGAATAGGGTGCCATTTGGGACAAACTTTATTTGCAGTGACCTAGATCATGAGCAGTGACACCGGTCTTACCCTTTTTTGCACCTCTTGTAGACTTTCCCCATTTTTCCAAGCGGCAGCTCATATTTATCACTTACCTAGAGATGTGACGAAAAACATGGGAAACACCGTATGAGAACTGGGTGCAAACAGTCGTTAGACAATACAATACATTCCATTGAATGCCTGTGTGCCTTCTCTGACGAGTGACCGCTTCCTGACAGACACAAACAGGAAACAAACCTATCTGACTGTGTCACTGTGGCTTGCGTCCCAAATGGCACCTTATACACTATATAGTGCACTACTTTTGACCAGAACACTATGGACCCTGGTTAAAAGTAGTTCATTATAAAGGGAATAGGGTGTCATTTAGGACGCATCCAGGGTGGCACACTTTACACAAATAGCTATGTCTGCGCTTGCTATGTATTTAAACCCATGGGGGAAAAATCAAGGTCATTCATTTGGCACACACTCAAAACATACAACACTTATCAGACAAGTATTCACAAGTATTAAAGTCCCACTCCAGCTATTTTTTAACTTTGCCTGTTGAGAAATTATATCCCTAGTATAAATACAGTAATGTCAAAGAAGACATTCTGAGCTAAATATATTTATTTTAGACTCATCTTCGAAAGTCGAGGAGTTCTGAAAATACTTTTGCAAAAACAAAGGTTCTTTGGAACCCAACAACATCTGCTCACAGCCTCCAGTAGTCCTGCCATAGTGGGCGTCCTCAGCATCAGAGCATCAAACACCTCCTCTGTCTCCTTACGGACGTAGAGCAGCACTAGAGGAACACAGAGAGAGACGAAACCAACAGTCAGATACCACACCAAAAGATTGCCTACCACACCAACCCCCATAGTGCGGGGGAGAGGTACAGTCAGATACCACACCAACCCCCACAGTCAGATACCACACCAACCCCCACAGTCAGATACCACACCAACCCCCATAGTGGGGGGGAGAGGTACAGTCAGATACCACACCAACCCCCACAGTCAGATACCACACCAACCCCCACAGTCAGATACCACACCAACCCCCACAGTCAGATACCACACCAACCCCCACAGTGTGACGGAGAGGTACATTCAAATTCCACACCAACCCAGTGAGATACTACCACACCAACCCCCAGTGTGAGGGAGAGGTACAGTCAGATACCACACCAACCCCCAGTGTGAGGGAGAGTTGCCATAAGCAAATAGAGGTGGGATTACACACAAGGTATTTTTTTTGACATGGGTGTGAGACAGTTTCACACACAAAAATACTGTGTGGGTTTCTCTCTCAGTCAAGTCACTGAGGTAACTACTACAGTATTGCCCTAATATCCTGCTGGGTGACGTTTCCATGGTTGTGGTGTGTTTTCATGCTGAAACAACTGCCACTCTCACCCCCCATAAAGATAGTGAAACTCAGTTAACATGGACTGTCTCTGAAATGGCACCCTATTCCCTATATAGTGCACTACTTTTGACCATAGCCCAGGATAGGGAGGCATTTTGGACACTCCTTTGTTATACTGAGAGCAGGCTGGACCATTGACTGACTGTAATTGCTCTTTGCTCCTTTCACGCTGGCGTCTTGGGAATTGACTATGAGCCTGGTCAGCAATAGACTAGTCTGAGAGAGACCACACCAAACATCAAACAGACCCTAATCATTCTTAGAACCTTTCCGCCCCACACACGTGACTGGGGAAAAAAACAATCCCGTTTGGTCTACATGTCAGGGAAATGATCACGTTCCACACCGGTTGAGTGTGTTTGTGTGTTGTGTTTTGTGCATCTAGAGTGGGAGGGGGGCTTTGGAAGCCACGTGGCCTGTGTTTACATAAATTCAGTCAGCTGAACTAGGTGGGAGCAGCCTGAACAACAGCAGCCAGAGCAACAAACACAACTACAGTGCAGAAAGCATTTCTCCCTCTCTCTCATGCTATTTTGAATTCTCTCTCCCTCACTCATTCTCTCTCTTTTGCTCCCTCGTTCTATAATTCTCTCTCCGGTTTATGCCTTCTCTTCACTAAACCGTCTCTTTTTCACTCTGTCTGTCTGTCTGTCTGCATATGTCTCTACTATTTGATGTACCTTTCTCTGGCTCCTCCCTCCTGGCTCTCTTGTGAGGGGCTGAGTCAAAGTCCTCATCATAGTCGAGCAGTCTCTTCTGCCCCAAGCTGCAGCAAAACAAACACAACATGTATGACTATCATGAGTCTGGACGAGTATGGAAAATGCAGTTAATCACTTATTATGGGTATACACCATTTTCAATTATTTCATTATTACGTTTATAGCCATTTGTAGCATCTATACATGTTACCAGATTTTACAATTCTTGTCTAAAAGAGGAATTGTACACACCCATCCTCACCGTCATCTGATAGGCATGCCTGATAAAGGACAAAGAGCAAGATTAGATACCCGATATCCATATCTTATACTGACATCTATGCAAATAACGACTGCTAATAAGCAGTGGTGGAAAAAGTACCCAACTGTCATACAAAAAAAATACTTTTTATAGAAAATGACTCAAGTAAAAGTGAAAGTCATCCAGTAAAATACTACTTGAGTAAAAGTCTAAAAGTATTTGGTTTTAAATGTACTTAAGTATCAAAAGTAAATGTAATTGCTAAAATATACTTAGGTATCAAATGTACAAGTAAAAGTATAAATAATTTACAATCCCTAATATTAAGCAAACCAGACAGCACCATTTTCTTGTTTTTTAAATTTATGGATAGCCAGGGGCACACTCCAACACTTAGACATAATTTACAAAAGAAGCATGTGTGTTTAGTGAGTCCGCCAGATCAGAGGCAGTCGGAATGACCAGGGATGTTCTCTTGATAAGTGCGAGAATTGCACCATTTTCCTTTCCTGCTATGCATTCAAAATGTAACGAGTACTTTTGGGTGTCAGGGAAAATGTATGGAGTAAAAAGTACATTATTTTCTTTAGGAATGTAATGAAGTAAAAGTACAAATTTTAATAGTAAAGTAAAGTACAGATACACCCAAAAAACTACTTACAGTGGGGGAAAAAGTATTTAGTCAGCCACCAATTGTGCAAGTTCTACCACTTAAAAAGATGAGAGAGGCCTGTAATTTTCATCATAGGTACACGTCAACTATGACAGACAAAATGAGAAAAAAAAATCCAGAAAATCACATTGTAGGATTTTTTATGAATTTATTTGCAGATTATGGTGGAAAATAAGTATTTGGTCAATAACAAAAGTTTCTCAATACTTTGTTATATTTACATACCCTTTGTTGGCAATGACACAGGTCAAACGTTTTCTGTAAGTCTTCACAAGGTTTTCACACACTGTTGCTGGTATTTTGGCCCATTCCTCCATGCAGATCTCCTCTAGAGCAGTGATGTTTTGGGGCTGTCGCTGGGCAACACGGACTTTCAACTCCCTCCAAAGATTTTCTATGGGGTTGAGATCTGGAGACTGGCTAGGCCACTCCAGGACCTTGAAATGCTTCTTACGAAGCCACTCCTTCGTTGCCCGGGCGGTGTGTTTGGGATCATTGTCATGCTGAAAGACCCAGCCACGTTTCATCTTCAATGCCCTTGCTGATGGAAGGAGGTTTTCACTCAAAATCTCACGATACATGGCCCCATTCATTCTTTCCTATACACGGATCAGTCGTCCTGGTCCCTTTGCAGAAAAACAGCCCCAAAGCATGATGTTTCCACCCCCATGCTTCACAGTAGGTATGGTGTTCTTTGGATGCAACTCAGCATTCTTTGTCCTCCAAACACGACGAGTTGAGTTTTGACCAAAAAGTTCTATTTTGGTTTCATCTGACCATATGACATTCTCCCAATCCTCTTCTGGATCATCCAAATGTACTCTAGCAAACTTCAGATGGGCCTGGACATGTACTGGCTTAAGCAGGGGGACACGTCTGGCACTGCAGGATTTGAGTCCCTGGCGGCGTAGTGTGTTACTGATGGTAGGCTTTGTTACTTTGGTCCCAGCTCTCTGCAGGTCATTCACTAGGCCCCCCCGTGTGGTTCTGGGATTTTTGCTCACCGTTCTTGTGATCATTTTGACCCCACGGGGTGAGATCTTGCGTGGAGCCCCAGATCGAGGGAGATTATCAGTGGTCTTGTATGTCTTCCATTTCCTAATAATTGCTCCCACAGTTGATTTCTTCAAACCAAGCTGCTTACCTATTGCAGATTCAGTCTTCCCAGCCTGGTGCAGGTCTACAATTTTGTTTCTGGTGTCGTTTGACAGCTCTTTGGTCTTGGCCATAGTGGAGTTTGGAGTGTGACTGTTTGAGGTTGTGGACAGGTGTATTTTATACTGATAACAAGTTCAAACAGGTGCCATTAATACAGGTAACGAGTGGAGGACAGAGGAGCCTCTTAAAGAAGAAGTTACAGGTCTGTGAGAGCCAGAAATCTTGCTTGTTTGTAGGTGACCAAATACTTATTTTCCACCATAATTTGCAAATAAATTCATTAAAAATCCTACAATGTGATTTTCTGGATTTTTTTCCCTCAATTTGTCTGTCATTGTTGACGTGTAGCTATGATGAAAATTACAGGCCTCTCTCATCTTTTTAAGTGGGAGAACTTGCACAATTGGTGGCTGACTAAATACTTTTTCCCCCCACTGTAAGTTCTTTACCTGGGCTATTTGTTCAGCTACTACTGTCTCAAACCAACTCCACTGAAACTCTCCAGTCAGTGTAGCACAAGCACCCCTATTTGAGGACTGCTGTCTCTTAGTTTGTATACTCCTTTGTGTTCTTTATGTTGCACAACATGTCTCATGAAATTTTCTGAAAATATGTCTCAAAAATGACATTTCCCCCCCTCATGTATTTACATGTGATCTCACACAAATGTAAGTAAGTCTTGTTATAAATGATGAGCTTTACTCCTGTATTTCAGCAGATTTTTGTATTTAAATGAATCAGCAGTATTGTCATGGGTGCCCATGTATGCAACCAGGTGTCTATTTTTTTTAAAACTAATTTGTATTACAAATTATCCATGAAAATGTTGCTCGGTCCTAGCAAAGGCTAAAAACAAAACGTCCCTAGAGACTATGGTCAGTTTGACGATATGTTGCAGTGTAACATGGGCAGTTCCCAGGTTTTTCCAGAAATCCCAGTTAGAGGATTCCCAGTTGGAGGATTCCCTCCCTGCGTATTCCCTCTTGATTCCAGGAATCCTCCAACTGGTATTTCTAAAAAGTCCGGGAACTTTGGAAAAGTTACTAGAATTTTGCAACCCTAAATATGGGTAAGGTAGAATTATTTTATATATTTTTGGGGGTGGGGTAGATCAGCTTTAATATTTCAGATAGATTGTCGGTTCTATTAATTTAATTGTTTGCATAATTTCTAATCCCCTTTATTTATCCCCTCAATACTTCTACTGCTACTTACAGCTATTTCGCTCTCATCTACGGTACCTGTAGTTAAATATATTATAAATATATTCCTAATCTCCTCTTTCTTCAAGTGCTGGATTTTCACCCACAGCGGCCAATCCACCATTCATTCTGATCTTAATGCCAACCCTCCGATGTCCACAGATTAACCCATCTTTCCCAGTATAATGCCATTTAGCTATTTCCTTTTGCAATACATTCCTCCATTTTACTATGATGACTTATGAGGGTCCTGAACCTCCCTATTTATAACATGTCTAAAAATAAATACTTTACCCAAGAGTATAATTATATTTCTCATTGACTGATTGTGGTTTTTCAGATCCCCTAACAATACAGTTTGCAGGTCCATCTGAACCCTGATATTATGACATAACAACCATTCCTGGACCTGACTCCAAAAGCGAGCCACCGATGGACAGTACAAGAAAATATGTTCTATTGATTCTGTTTCCTCGTGGCAGTCTGCACAAGGCTGACTATTCAATGCCCCATATATTGAGCATTCTTTTTGTAGCAAGTATTTTATATAATAGTTTAAACAAACGGATTGAGGTGTCAATTGTTGTTTTATATGTCAGTTCATAGACCCGATGCCAAGGAATTGGGACATCAAAACGCTGTTCCCAACGGACTTGAAATGTATACAGTATTGCTGTCAAACCTTTTGACTTTAAGTGAAATTGATCAAAAAAATGATTTATACTAAGCATTTTAAGCCATTTATGATTTTTAATAGGTGGCAGGTAGACTAATTCTTTAATATCTTCTTTAAGTAATTGTCTCTTCCAATTTTGTGGCAGAGTCGTGATGAGTTGGTTATAATTTTGTATTGAGCATACACCTCCATACACACTTATTAGTTGCTTGTGTGACATAATTTTACAATTTTTGTTTACAATGTCCTTCATAAATATTATACCCTTCTAGTAACTCCCCCCCCCCATGTGTTTTTCTTCTCAATCAATATATTGCAGTTTAGCCATATTATTTTCTGTAATATTAGATCTACCTTTTCTGGAGGATGAAATTGAAATTGTTGCCAACTCTGTATGACTTTATTTAAAAATAAGGATACTTTAAAACAGGGATACATTGTCAATCCACTGAAAATGTAAGGTTTTAAACATAGGATGGGCCTCTCTTAGTAGCTTTCTAGAAAACCTATTTGGATTTAGATACAATATCGGTACAATGGAGGCCTTAAGAGAGAGGTTTAATGCCTTATATTTTAATTGTTTTATCCTTCCATGTAATGTAGGTCTTACGTGGTGGCGCTGGGTGCTGGGGAAGTGGACCTCAGGGATAAAGAGGACCGGCTGGGAGTCCATATCACTCATGGCTTTGAACAATGTTATGTCCACATGCTTCAGCTTCAGAGGGTCTTCCACATCTGTGACAGGACAGCAGGGAGAGGTAGAGGGGTTAACATGGGAGCAGGATGGGACACTAGTCTCGCTCACTAGAATAGGGGCCCTCCACTCTGGGCACTCCACCATCGGTTGTGAGAAGAGACAAATGGGACTGTTGCTGTTGCAAAGAACAAGTGCTTTTCCTTTTCTTCAAGGTGTTTTTATTTTATTGAGACATGTCTACTATTGTATATCAACTCTAGAGACTGAGTTTTTTACCCTTGACATGCTGTTTCCCTAGCTTGCTTTTTAGGGGTTAGTTGAGTACAGGATTTTGTGAATCACACAAAGAAAAATATATTTGTTAAAAGCACTATATATTAATCTCAGTTAACACAGAACTAAAGTCTTGCGTAATTGGTCAGATGTTGGATTAAGTTCTGGGTCCATACGTGTTAAGAGAACAGGACTGAAGAACTCCACCCTCTCTCTTTGCAAGTTACAGGCAAGTCTATAGGCCAAATGTCCCCTACCCTTCCGAAAGCCAAAATAAGCTAACACCAGCGAAATCGTGATTTGTCCAAAGCACCGGAACTAAGAGCAGGGACACACACAGGATTGTCTACCGTTCGCCAGCTGAAAGTAATTACACCTCTGAACAGTGTCGGGAGTCAATCTCTTTTGTGTTCACACAGCAAAGACATTGAAGTCGTCAGCCACAAAGCCTTGTTAAAATACTCCAAACCAAAAGGTGGCAGTAGCCTTGTTTGGCAATGCATGTCTGCGTGTGTTGCTTAGGTTATGGTCTAGATGCCAATGTTAGCAAGCTAGCTAGCTGAGCTAATGTTGCTATTTTGTAGAAAGCCCTTGATGATACTAGCCAGATGACAAACAAACAATTTAATTCACTCTCCATAATCCCATACTGCCAGTGCCAGCCCATAGCCAAATGTATAGCTAGCTAACTAACATTAGCATATTCGTTAGCTAGCACAACATAGCTAGCTATCTAAGGACACTGCACTAACTCGGCAGCTAACACAGGCAGCTGTTTCATGGAAACTAATCCATTATGACTTAATTATAATGTCAATAGTAGCTACAGTGGTTAGCAAGCTTGGAGGAAGTATTTAGTGTTGTGTGCATTGCATCTGTGCACTTAGCTAGCTACCATCCCATAGCCTACACTGCATATAAAGTGTGACTGGCTCATGACATTTAACCGTGGATATAAGGAGAAAATGCCCTCTTTTTGCCTTTTTGTTGTCACTTCTGTTGGCTCCCCCACGTGGGGGCTCATGCTTTCGGATTGGCTCAAAGTCAAGTTGTTGGCCACTGACGATAATTGTGATTCTTCAAGTAGATATGGCAGGTTTGTCGCTATACGGGTTGGCACGCAGCAGGTACCGAGCGAGAGAAGGAACGGCCTCGCACTGTTTACCTATCGGCAGTGAGATTCTCGATGTGTTTCATTCTTAATGCTGCTCGTTATCTCACATGTATCATAACAGATCTACAGTACAATTTATGTTTACGTTGTCTGTCCACGAGAGATTAAACTATATATATATATATATATATATATATATACAGTGCCTTCGGAAAGTATTCAGACCCCTTAACTTTTTCCAAATTTTGTTAAGTTACAGCCTTATTCTAAAATGGATTAAATAAATAAAAATCTCAGCAATCTACACACAATACCCCATAATGACAAAGCGAAAACAGGTTTTTAGAAATCTTTGCTAATTTATAAAATTTTTATAACTGAAATACCTTATTTACATAAGTATTCAGACCCTTTGCTATGAGACTCAAAATTGAGCTCAGGTGCATGCTGTTTCCATTGATCCTCCTTGAGATGTTTCTACAACTTGATTGGAGTACACCTGTGGTAAATTCAATTGATTGGACATGATTTGGAAAGGCACACACCTGTCTATATCAGGTCCCACAGTTGACAGTGCATGTCAGAGCAAAAACCAAGCCATGAGGTCGGAGGAATTGTCCGTAGAGCTCCGAGACAGGATTGTGTCGAGGCACAGATCTGGGGAGGGGTACCATTTATTTATTTTCAGCATTGAAGGTCCCCAAGAAAACAGTGGCCTCCATCATCCTTAAATGGAAGAAGTTTGGAACCAATAAGACTCTTCCTAGAGATGGCCGCCCAGCCAAACTGAGCAATCAGGGGAGAAGGGCCTTGGTCAGGGAGGTGACCAAGATCCCAATGGTCACTCTGACAGAGCTCCAGAGGTCCTCTGTGGAGATGGCAGAACCTTCCAGAAGGACAACCATCTCTGCAGCACTCCACCAATCAGGCCTTCATGGTAGAGTGGCCAGAGGGAAGCCACTCCTCACAAAAGATACCTAAAGCACTCTCAGACCATGAGAAACAAGATTCTCTGGTCTGATGAAACCAAGATTGAACTCTTTGGCCTGAATGCCAAGCGTCACGTCTGGAGGAAACCTGGCACCATCCCTACGGTGAAGCATGGTGGTGGCAGCATCATGCTGTGGGGATGTTTTTCAGCGGCAGGGACTGGGAGACTATTCAGGATCGAGGGAAAGATGAACGGAGCAACGTACTGAGAGATCCTTGATGAAAACCTGCTCCAGCCAGAGCCCAGACTTGAACCCGATCTCTGGAGAGACCTGAAAATAGCTGTGCAGCGACGCTCCCCATCCAACCTGACAGAGCTTGAGAGGATATGCAGAGAAGAATGGGAGAAACTCCCCAAATACAGGTGTGCCAAGCTTGTAGCGTCATACCCAAGAAGTCTCGAGGCTGTAATCGCTGCCAAAGGTGCTTCAACAAAGTACTGAGAAAAGGGTCTGAATACTTATGTAAATATGATATTTCAGTTTTGGATTTTTTATAAATTAGCAAAATAATCTACAAACCTCTTTTTGCTTTGTCATTATGGGGTATTGTGTGTACATTGATGAGGGGGGAAAACGATTTAGTCAATTTTAGAATAAGGCTGTAACGTAACAAAATGTGGAAAAAGTCAAGGGGTCTGAATACTTTCCGAATGCACTGTATGTGTATGTATGTATGTATGTATGTATGTATGTATGTATGTATCTATCTATCTATCTATCTATCTATCTATCTATCTATCTATCTATCTATCTATCTATCTATCTATCTATCTATCTATCTATCTATCTATCTATCTATATGTATGTGTCTGACTTAAATCAGGTGTACTGTACTCACAGGCTGCAGTTGTCTCCTGTCCCCTTCCCTTCCTTTGAGTCTGCTTCCTCTCCTCGTCTCGGATCTTCCTCTCGGCACCTTTGTCACAGAACACCTTGATCTGGCAGTAGGCTCTGTGCACTAGCTTTTCACCATGGTTACCACAGCTGTAGGTGTCAATCTGGAGGTTGAGAGGAAGGCCCCTCACTCCTTTTTGAGGGGAGAAGTCTGTACTCAGACAGTTCACTGACACAAACACCTGAGGGGGCAAAGATCAAGGCACGTGAGGATTCAAATTCTAAACATTTTATTGTTCATCCAATTTACATTGGACAGAAAAGCATGAGGCTCACATGCAACACATTAAAAACATTGCATAAAAGCACCAATAATGACATGAAAACATACCAAAAAATAGCAGGGTAGAGTAGTAATAGACAGAATGTTTTACATTTGAATGAATTAGATAAATATTTTTGAATGAACAGTTCTGATGCACATTTATGGGTTTATTTCCATTGAGTATGACATTTCTTTCATGCAGGTAGAAAACCAAGGTAGAAAATTGTAGTCTCTAGTAACTATAGTCCTGGGTTGTTTCAAAGTGTTGTGTATGATTGATTTACTTGTGTATGTCTCCCCCTGCTGGAGATTGTTTGTAACTACTTTCTTTTTCTGACAAAACATAGACATACATTTTGCTCCTAAATCTGGTGTAGAGTGAAGCTGCCTCTAGACGCTGATCTTGGGTCAGTTTGGCATTTTTTACACCATTGGTTAAGGTTAAGATTGGGGAGGGCAAGCTGATCCTAGATCTGTACCCAGGGGAAACTTCACCCCAGAGCCCAAAATCTTCACACAAAGATTTCTGCTGCCACATGATATTGGCCTCTTTTACCCGTGGCTTGTCCTTAGTGTCCCATGTGAAAGAGATGGCATTGTAGGCGATCTCCTCAATACTGGCGATCGTATTGAAGCTCTCTTTGTAGTCAGCTGGGATGAACAAACAGGGAAGAGATACAACAGGATGTTTTACACACAAACAATAATGTTTACATACTGATTCTGAGAACATAGTGTGACTGTTTTGGTTGTGTGTGTGTGTGTGTGTGTGTGTGTGTATTTGTGTGTGGGTAAAGCAGCATCGTTATTGTTTGGAACAATCGGTTGACTGCATTTGACCTAACACAACAGCATGCAAACTTATAGTGAATCTAACAGCGAGGAAGAGGAACTGCACTGCTTGAGTGACAGGGCTCGGGTTGATGTGTGCAGAAAGAGGCCACAAGAGGAGAAAAACGTAGTCAATTATAAAAAGGGACGTTGCACACGGCTGAAATGCCTTTCAAAATATTGCGTGCGATATGGATTTCTTGCGATATGAATATTGCACGTCAATATTTCGATTTCGATGTGAATTCGATTAATTGTGCAGCCCTAGTGTGAGAGAGAGTGTGTGCATGCACACGGTTGTGTGTGCGTATGCGTGCAGTGTGTGTATGCATGAATGTGTGTGTGTAACCCCTCACCAATATCAATGCAGCGCTGCTTGGCTGTGTGCTGTCTGCTGTGCCAGTATCTCCAGTGTTTGAGCTGGTCATCTGTGAACTTTTCCTCTCCAAACACCAGCATCACCACACTCTGAAATATTCCATCAGTAAGTAATTCCCAAAACATTTCCCAAACCTAGAGACACACTAGATACTTGTAGAATAGAAATAGATAAGAAGTCAGGAAAGAGAGATGAAAGAAAGAGAGGGAGAGAAAGAGAGAGAGGGGAGAGAAAGAGAGAGAGGGGAGAGAAGAGAGAGAGGGGAAGAGAGAGAGAGAGAGAGGGGGAGAAGAAAGAAAAGAGAGATGGTGAGAATGTGAGAGAGAGGGGAGAGAGAAGAGAGAGAGATGGGGGGAGAAAAGGAGAGGGGCGAGAAAGACAGCCCTCCTGGAGGAAAGAAGAGTAGGGGCGAGAAGAGGGAGAGAGGAGGGGGAAGAAAGAGGAAGAGGAGAGAAGGGAGGAGGGGGGGAGAGAAAGAGAGAGAGCGAGCGATAAGAATAGAAATAGAAGAGATACAATAGAGAAGCTCATACCCGGAATTCTCCATTGAGGTGGGGTGGGACCGGGGGGCCCCCTAGCTCTCTCAGGGTGATAGGGTAGAACTGGCCCTTGTTCAGGTAACTCATCTGGCCACTGCCGCTCTTGGGCCGGATAGACTGGGGAGCCTCCAGCATGTACTCAAAGTGTTGACTGAGATAGAGAGAGAATTCTTCGTCATCATACATCCTGATGTCTGGTGACTATGAAAGCATTTTTGAAAACACACTAAGTTCAGTTCATTTATTTGGCCTTTTACAGGAATTTGTCTCTCAGTGACTGTCTCTATCCCATGTTTGACTGAGTATGTTACCTTGCTGTCGAGCTGTAGTAAGGGTATCCACCGGGAGGAATGGAGGCCATGCGTTGTTGGAGCTCCTCCGACAGAGGGAAGACCTGTGGGTCACAACAAAACATTCCAGGGGAACATTAGCACCATAGACATAGGATGTGACCCAAATGGCACCCTATTCACTTGGCTTTATAGTGCACTATAGGGAATATGGTGCCATTTGGGAGGCACCCATAATAATCTGTATAGGTGACCATTACATATTACACTACAACCCCATAGATCAATGAAAATATGGATGATGCCTCCTTGGCTCCATAAAAGTGAATAGGCTGATTCTCACAAGCCTGCTACTTTTACAGAGCGTGAGACGCTTTCATTCATTTCAATGAAACCTAGGTGTAAGCAGTACAGCTCCAGGAGAGGCTTGCACTGCTCAGTGTAAAATTATGCTCTGGTTCAATCTGGTTCTGGAGTAACAGTTAGAGGACCTACCTCATTGGAGCTGTCCTTGTAGGGCTCTGTGTAGGTGGAATTGGGGGTGAGGCTCTTAGCTCTGGGGCTGTACTGGCTGTGGTTGAGCTGGCGACTGAAGGCCATTCCGTCGGACTGGGAACTGTGGAGTCCAGGGGGGAGGCCCAATGGGGCCAGGGTCCGCCCTGTGCTGATGGAGTAGGAGGGAGGGCTGGAGGTGGTGGACAGGCAGACTATGGAGTCTGAGGCTGGGTAGAGAGCCCGGGTCTTGTCCATCCGGCTGGGTTGGCTGCTGCCCTGGACCACGGTGTTGCGAGGGACGGTCCTCAGGGGAGAGTCTTGGAGTGGCACCATGAATTTTCTGAGGAGATGATCAGAGTAAAGGTCATCTCAGAACACAGCTTTCTTTACTTCAACACACTTTTTCTCGATTTACAGTAAATATAAAGTCAAGTATGATAAGTCATAACTGGATAACAACATCATAACTAAGGAGATTCATTACATTTTGTTTGGATCAGCATCGCCCAGGAGCTCTTCTGTTTTGGGCTGTCCATTCGGTCTCCTATCTCGTGGCACCTAGAAAAGTAATTTAATACATTATTATCACACATCTATGATACATCTATGGCGGTGGAGGTACTTATAGAATCTTTATAGTATAGTGGGTATATAGTAGTAGTAATATAGTAGGAATATATAAGGTACCTTGTAGTAGTCGTAGAGGAGGCCCAGAGCGTTGGCACTGTCCTCATCTCCATTGATGCTCATCATGGCCTTGGAGGCGGCCGTCAGGGGGTTCTCCAGGAAGGTCCTCCATGCCTCGTCATCCTCAGTGAGTGCCTGCCGCTGACCACCGCTGTACGACGGCTCATTCTGGAGCACCAGAACACCCCTCTTTCTGCACAGTGAGACAGTCCAACATTACGTTCAGATTTAGAACCCCCCTATTTCTGCACAGTAGGACAGTCCGAGAGTAAATTCAGATTCAGAACCCCTCCCATTCTGCACAGTGGGACAGTCCAACATTAAGTTCAGAATCCCCCTCTTTCTGCACAGTGGGACAGTCCAACATTTAGTTTAGAACCCCCCCCTCTTTTTGTTCTCCCCAATTTTGTGATATCTAATTGGTAGTTACAGTCTTGTCCCATCGCTGCAACTCCCCTACGGACTCGGGGGAGGCGAAGGTCGAAAGCCATGCGTCCTCTGAAACACAACCATGCCAAGCCGCACTGCTTCTTGACACACTGCTTGCTTAACCCGGAAGCCAGCCGCACCAGTGTGTCGGAGGAAACACCCTCCAGCTGGCAACCGAAGTCAGCTTGCAGGCGCCCGGCCCGCCACAAGGAGTCGCTAGAGCACGATGGGACAAGGAAATCCGAGCCGGCCAAACCCTCCTAACCCATACGACGCTGGGTCAATTGTGCGCCACCTCATGGGTCTCCTGGTCACGGCCGGCTGTGACAGCCTGGGAAGCAACCCAGGTCTGTAGTGACCCCTCAAGCACTGCGATGCAGTGCCTTAGACCGATGGGCCACTCGGGAGGCCAAATCCCCCTCTTTCTGCACAGCGGGACAGTCCAACATTAAGTTCAGAATCCCCCTCTTTTTGCACAGTGGGCCAGTCCAACATTACGTTCAGAATCCACCTCTCTCTGCACAGTGGGACAGATCAACATTTAGTTCAGAATCCCCCTTTCTGCACAGTGGGACAAGTCCAACATTTTAAGTTCAGAATCCCCCTCACTATGCCCAATAATAGCCCTAACCTCTTAAATGTTATGTTTTACACGGACAGAAAGAGTCCCATAGAGTGAGCAGTAGGCTTGATCCTCTGTAGCTCAACTGGTAGAGCACGGCGCTTGAAACGCCAAGGTAGTAGGTTCGAGCCCCGGGACCACCCATACACAAAAATGTATTCATGCATTTTCGCATAAGTCGCTTTGGATAAAAGCGTCTGCTAAATGCCATATTATTATTATTGTAAGTGTTACCTTCAGGCAGTAGCACGCTTGACAGATCTCTTATCCTGCTCTAACAGCAAGACAGGTATTCAATTCGCTGTCTGTGTCATGGCAGTCAGACTAATGTCTATGCTTAGGAGCAAATCAATTTCATCGTTTTGTTTAAATATAAGATGCCAGGTACAGAAATGAGACGATTTAATTGTGTCAGTATTTGTTTGTGTACATTGTCTAAGAAGTTCAATACACAATCAAACTGCCATTAATTGAATAGATTTCCTTCGAATGTTTTCTAAATGCTAAAAATATTATTAAATGAAGCCCAGTTCAAAACATTTACAGGATCAGCATTAAACAAGCTTAAATACATCTGTAAGAATAATACGAAAAATATTTTTTAAATGACAATTGTGATCCAGTAGCTTACACTAGTTTACTTAGGCTACCTGGATAGTTAGGCTATGGAAGATCGTCATTCATACAGTATTGCACACCTGTATACAACTGGACCGTGTAGGCCTACTTACTTGCCAAGCTCCTGTGTCATTTCGCTCCGGCGGACTGGACTTTCAAGTTGGAACGGTAATTCCGATACGTCAACTATTTTAAAAAACACGAGATGCTGGTAGTTAAAATGTATGTCAACCGTGTACTCCAGAACTAGTTTATTCGGCTTTTCTCGATCTATGAGCTGGAGCCGAAGTTTTACCTGCGATAGGCCACGCGATTGGCTTGCTGTGACAATGGGCGGGGTTTCAGGTAAACGCACATAGGCCTAGGAAATAGCTTGATGAGGCTCACAAAAACCGATACATACCAGTTTCGTAGAGAGAAGTGCCTGAGACTCGGAACAAATTATTCCAAAACCACACTAATTGCAGGTAACACCTATTACATGTCCATCACATTAAAAACTGAAGTAACACGCACATTTGGAATAATAACAGTGCTCTCTCACAGCCTGTACTTAGCCTAAAATGTCAGGCATTATTTAATGAACAGAGCTACTTATAACACTAATAACAGAACAGTTTAATATAATTTCAAAAGTAAATTGTAAATCACAGGAACATTGCCATTCATCCATGGCAATGCAATGAGGCAATTTGTACAAAAAGGCACATAATCAATTTGCATTGATACAAGAACCGCAGTAATGCATGGCAATATGGTACATAAATAAACCACAGTAGTTGGTCCCGATGAAGTCACTCTCTCTTTAGTCACCTAGAACATGTTTTTCTGGTTTGTTTGCGTTTGGGCTGTTTTTTGGGCTGTGTCTTTCTGGGCGTAGCTCTTGCCCTGGGCTGGGACTTGCTGCACCTGAGGAAGCGCCTCTCCACCTTCAGTACCTCTTCGTATACACAGCCAGGTTTCACCCCCAGGAGGAAGGAGAAGAGGCCCAACAACCACACGTACATCCTGGGGAGAGTGACCTCTACCTCCGCATAGTGGCTCTTACAAAACCTGAGGGGGAAAACAAAACATGACAGAAAAACTCAACAGTGTTGTTTTAAAGAAGGCACATGACTCTGGCTCTTTGTAGAGTGTGCCTAGTGCAGCGCAATCCCTGTGAGGTGTGCAGTAAAGACCAATCTGAAAGAGTTGAATTGAACTTTTATGGAGCAATGGAAATTCTGCAAGTATAACCAAAATCTGGCAGATTTGCAAATGGAGTTTGTCTCACGTCCCTGTGCATGCGATTATTAACCACTGCTAATAACCAGTGTGTAAACAGTATATGACAGACATCCTGGTCCTCTCATCCAGACTATATTTAAACAGAGCACTTGTCATGGACGTTTTGATTCTATATGTATATTCACAAGTCACATCTCTACATCGTCTACAACAATTCTGAAACATTTTCTAAAGCATTATTATGCATGCCTACTGCCTATATGCTGGGAAAAACCCACAGCCAGTGCTGTCTCTAGCTGAAACTAGGTTTTAAATGGGATGGTTTAGATACAGCCTATAGCGAGTGGAACTGAAAGAGCCCTTGTGGGACAGGTTAGAAGGGAATCGGCCTCCACAACAGAATGCAGAGTGTAGATTAATGCTGGGTTCAGTTTTCAATCACTATAGGATTCAGCCTCAGCAAACTGAGGAAGGTGGAAAGGAAAGGGTAGCTTGGTAGATTTGATCAGTGCTGACAGTGAAAACAGCCCCCATCAGAGGAGAGAGAGAATACAGGCCTGCATTCCCACTCTCCTTCACCCAGCATATACAACTGCCGCAAGCTCTCAGCAGTCTGGGAACTGTGCAATGTGTATGTCTATGTGAGGGTGAGGGCTATCATATTATTAAAAAAAGACATCAGTTAGGATGTTTAGGTGAGGTGATTCAGGGTCACCCCAACAAGGGAAATATTAACTTAAAACAGACTCAGATGCAAGACGCTGCGCATGTGCACGGGTGCACTTCCCGCTCCTGCAAGCTGATAGTTGCGGGATCAGCAGAGAAGTTTAGCCTCATGCTTGTTGCAGAGGTCTACGCTGACTCTGTGGTTTACTTTGTGCATCACTGACTCTACCTTTACATTTTTGTTATTTTTTACCCTTATTTTTGCAGGTAAGTTGACTGAGAACACATTCTCATTTACAGCAACAACCTCAGGAATACTTACATGGGAGAGGAGGGGGGGATGACTGAGCCAATTGGAAGCTGGGGATGATTAGGTGGCCATGATGGTATGAGGGCCAGATTGGGAATTTAACCAGGACACCGGGGTTTTAACACCCCTACTCTTACGATAAGTGCCACGGGATCTTTAGTGAACACAGAGTCAGGACACCCGTTTAACATCCCATCCAAAAGACGGCACCCTGCACAGGGCAATGTCCCCAATCACTGCCCTGGGGCATTGGAATATTTTATTTTTTTGACCAGAGGAAATAGTGCCTCCTACTGGCCCTCCAACACCACTTCTAACAGCATCTGGTCTCCCATCCAGGGACTGACCAGGACCAACCCTGCTTAGCTTCAGTGGCAAGCCAGCAGTGGGATGCAGGTTGGTATGCTGCTGCAACCGGGCACTGGGCCTTACCTGGGCTTGCAGGCCCTCAGGGCTGGGTGCCAGTATTCTGGGTTGGAGGGCTGGAGGCTTGCCCCTCTCAGCCGGACGCTGCTGTCCAGGGTATGGTGGTGCATGCTGGGCCCGTCCCGGACCCCTTCCCCCTCCTCACCCCAGCAGAAACAGAAGCTGGAGGGAGGGGAAGATGGCGGGGCCACAGGGGAACCAGACAGTTTCTGGAAACTCAACTGGAGCTGCTCTGCAATACCTGGAGAGGGTGAGGGGGAAGAGTGAGGGTGCAGGAAATGGTGAGGAAAAAGGGTGTGGTTAGTGGGTGAGGGAAAGAGAAGGGGAGGGGGGGGGGGGGGGGGGTTGAGAGAAAGGGACAGGGACAAGGTGTAGTGAGATTGGGGTGGAGAAAAGAGAGAGATTAGCAAAAGCAGAATGACGCTGATATGTTGGCAAGTGAGTGACTGAGTGTAGATACATCAGCATGTTTGTGCCAGCTCTTTTTACAGCCCATTTGCCATACATGTTTTTCTTCTTCATCTGAACAGACTGATATGAGTGACACCTACGTCTCCTTTTGAGAACGACCAGCCTGTCTTTCTTCGAGGTGTATAGAGGTTTCTGGGCCTTCCAATGTTTTCTGTGGAAAGAAAATGGGTAAATAAAACCAGTCAAAAATGCATTTTATTATGCTTTATACAGACATTTGTGAAATAGAGGAGGATATAGATGAAGGGTGGACACAGGAAATGAACCCGTTTCTGGTGGGGAGCAGTATATGTGATTGAGCCGGATGTGTTACCACTAGACCACAGTATCTGCACAGCCAACTTTAGAGAGAGAACAGTGAAAGAGCCAGTTAAAAGTGAGAGGAGTCTCACCTGGCTATGTTGTCCTGCTGTCTCCGTGCGGCTGTGGTCAGGGCAGTCTGCATGGTCCTGTACCACCTTCTCAGGTTAAAGCTGTTCCCATCTGTCGCACATAAAGAGAGGGATGAGTGCCAGACAGAATTTAGGACACTTGGCCTTTGCATTGTCCAACTGAGAAGACTTCCCAAAATAAGGGGCCATTTCCGAACTATATAACAGGCTACCGCTAGGAACTCACTTCATTTAAGTCTTCATAATGGGCTCTACTTCTTAAGAGAAGTCAGAATTCTCCATTTGCTTTTTAATTACCACAGAAAATAGCAAGGGGAAACTCTAGCACCTCAAACCACCCAAATATTTCAGGCCAGCCATGTAATCTACTCTCACAAACCTACTCTCACTTATATTATTTTTCATTTGACATTTTAGTCATTTAGCAGACGCTCTTATCCAGAGCGACTTACAGTTAGTGAGTGCATACATTTTTCATACTGGCCCCCCATGGGAATCGAACCCACAACCCTGGCGTTGCAAGCGCCATGCTCTACCAACTGAGCTACAGGAGGCTGATAAGATATCAAATGGAATGTTACAAGTGAATGAAAAGGAAGTCAGAAATCAAAAGGAATGCAGACAAACAGGCAACATTCCACCGTTCCAAAGACAAAACCACACCTCAATGGCCGCTCTTTACGAAAAAAAGGTTAATTACAATGTGTAGGACAATATAAACTATGATTATCTGTGCCCATCTCATCCAAAAAGTTGACTCAAGTTTGCCAAAAAGCACCTGGATGATCATCAAGACTCTTGGAAGAACGTTCTATGGACAGATGATTCAAAAGTATAACTTTTTGGACGACATGGTTCCAGTAATGCCTGGCGAAAACCAAACTCTGCATTCCACAGTAAGAACATCATACCAAAGGTCAAGCATGGTGGTGGTGGTGGGGTGATGGTTTGGGGATGCTTTGCTGCCTCAGGACCTGGACGACTTGCCTTAATAGAAGGAACCATGAATTCTGATCTGTATCAGAGAATTCTACAGGAGAATGTCAGACCATCCGTCTGTGAGCTGAAGCTGAAGCGCAGCTGGGTCAAACAGCAAGACAATGATCCAAAACACACAATCAAGTCTACATGAAAATTGCTAAAAAGCAACAAATTGGAAGTTTTGGGATGGCCTAGTCAAAGTCCAGACCTAATCCCAATTGAGATGTTGTGGCAGGACTTGAAACGAGCAGTTCATGCTTGAAAACCCACATGTCACTGAGTTAAAGCAGTTCTGCATGGAAGAGTGGGCCATAATTCCTCCACAGCGACGTGAGAGACTGATCAACAACTACAGGAAGCATTTGGTTGGAGTCATTGCAGCTAAAGGTGGCACAACCAGTTATTGAGTGTAAGGTGGCAATTACTTTTCACACAGGGAAATTGGGTGTTGAATAACTTTGTTTACGAAATAAATATGTAATTGCTGTGTTATTTGTTCACTTATGTTCCCTTTATCTAATATTAGGTTTTGGTTGAAGATCTGATAACATTCAGTATCACAAATATGCAAAAGTAGAGAAAATTTGAAAGGGGGCAAATACTTTTTCATAGCACTGTATGTAAATAACTGTTTAGTTTATTCCTCTGTATGTAGTATGTACAGTGAGGGGAAAAAAGTATTTGATCCCCTGCTGATTTTGTACGTTTGCCCACTGACAAAGAAATGATCATAATTTTAATGGTAGGTTTATTTGAACAGTGAGAGACAGAATAACAAAAAAATCCAGAAGAACACATGTCAAAAATGTTATTTATTGATTTGCATTTTAATGAGGGAAATAAGTATTTGACCCCCTCTCAATCAGAAAGATTTCTGGCTCCCAGGTGTCTTTTATACAGATAACGAGCTGAGATTAGGAGCACACTCTTAAAGGGAGTGCTCCTAATCTCAGCTTGTTACCTGTATAAAAGACATCTGTCCACAGAAGCAATCAATCATTCAGATTCCAAACTCTCCACCATGGCCAAGACCAAAGAGCTCTCCAAGGATGTCAGGGACAAGATTGTAGACCTACACAAGGCTGGAATGGGCTACAAGACCATCGCCAAGCAGCTTGGTGAGAAGGTGACAACAGTTGGTGCAATTATTTGCAAATGGAAGAAACACAAAATAACTGTCAATCTCCCTCGGCCTGGGGCTCCATGCAAGATCTCACCTCGTGGAGTTGCAATGATCATGAGAACGGTGAGGAATCAGCCCAGAACTACACGGGAGGATCTTGTCAATGATCTCAAGGCAGCTGGGAACATAGTCACCAAGAAAACAATTGGTAACACACTACGCCGTGAAGGACTGAAATCCTGCAGCGCCCGCAAGGTCCCCCTGCTCAAGAAAGCACATATACAGGCCCGTCTGAAGTTTGCCAATGAACATCTGAATGATTCAGAGGAGAACTGGGTGAAAGTGTTGTGGTCAGATGAGACCAAAATAGAGCCCTTTGGCATCAACTCAACTCGCCGTGTTTGGAGGAGCAGGAATGCTGCCTATGACCCCAAGAACACCACCCCCACCGTCAAACATGGAGGTGGAAACATTATGCTTTGGGGTGTTTTTCTGCTAAGGGGACAGGACAACTTCACCGCATCAAAGGGACGATGGACGGGGCCATGTACCGTCAAATCTTGGGTGAGAACCTCCTTCCCTCAGCCAGGGCATTGAAAATGGGTGGTGGATGGGTATTCCAGCATGACAATAACCCAAAACACACAGCCAAGGCAACAAAGGAGTGGCTCAAGAAGAGGCACATTAAGGTCCTGGAGTGGCCTAGCCAGTCTCCAGACATTAATCCCATAGAAAATCTGTAGAGGGAGCTGAAGGTTCGAGTTGCCAAACGTCAGCCTCGAAACCTTAATGACTTGGAGAAGATCTGCAAAGAGGAGTGGAACAAAATTCCTCCTGAGATGTGTGCAAACCTGGTGGCCAACTACAAGAAACGTCTGACCTCTGTGATTGCCAACAAGGGTTTTGCCACTAAGTACTAAGTCATGTTTTGCAGAGGGGTCAAATACTTATTTCCCTAATTAAAATGCAAATCAATTTATAACATTTTTGATTTGCGTTTTTCTGGATTTTTTTGTTGTTATTCTGTCTCTCACTGTTCAAATAAACCTACCATTAAAAGTATAGACTGATCATGTCTTTGTCAGTGGGCAAACGTACAAAATCAGCAGGGGATCAAATACTTTTTTCCCCTCACTGTATCTCCCGAGAGATTATTCAGATCAATACCTTCTCAATTATGATTTTAATTTTTTCTTCCCACATCTATAGCAGCCATCAGGAAGGGCTGGTTATCAATTTATCACACCAAAGTGAGTCTGAGGTTTACCTGGATTTTCCTTGTTCTTGTCACTTGCATCATTGGACAAATCCCTAAAAACACACAAACAGGAGAACTGCTTTAGATATGAGCAGTAGTAAACAATCACCAAAGTGCAATATCTAGCATAGACATAGTGATCTAAACTTTTCATGACATTTCTGTGTGACTCAGTTTACATGACCAGGGACATGCAGACTTGATGTTTCAGTCTACATGGAGCTTCCTAAAGAGCATTGTGGTTCCTAGACTGTGGCAAAATATTGACTTGTTAACAGACTATATAGTGTACTATAATTGCCTACTATGATTACATACAGTGTCTCAAAACTACCAGAGTGATCCACAATGTAGTTTTAAAATCTGTATTATGTATTGTCAATGAATGTTATATTGTGGAGTGGCAGACCGTTTTCACATTGACGATAGCAAAGGTACATTTTCTAGAGGTTCTCGAGAGACAATACTGTTCTCACGTCTCGAGTGCTTCCTCTGGAGGTCGCACCCGACAGTTGCCACCCTCCGAGCAGGGTAGTGTAAACAGAATTGTCTCACTCAGCTCACCACTCCTACAGTATCAATGGTAATAGCAGAGCAATGTTTTTGAAAAAGCTGAAATGTGTAGGCTAGACATTTTCCTTATATTTGAGACTTGTGTTATTGAGTTTTTACCTGAAATTGCAGTAACAGCCTGTTACATTCTGAAATGGTTGCAGTAGCTGCACTGAGCCACGTCAAACTATGGAAGCCCATTCCCGCCACCTTTTTTTAATGTCGATACTATCTAAAAATGTTGAAATATGTCAGTCAACATGTTTAGATACGCAAGTCAAACTACATAAGTCAACATCTGTGCTTTTGTCTTGAAGCTAACATGTGACTAGTGTTCAGACGAAAATATTAATTGTCTTCACATGCTTGTGAATTGTTGCGTTATTCAAGAGTGTAATATGGTTTTGTTGCAATAATGTAATATGGTAGATGCATGAAGAGTTGCTTGCTTAACGTTAGCTAGTAGCTAGCTAGTTGAATAGTTTGCAATGCTTAACCTCCTGAGTCCAGGTTACTGTGAAATTTACGGTACTTTTGAGCTGCGAAGCAAGAACGTCAACCGAACCCCTTGTCGGCTCGTGACATTCCCGTCGCTAATGTGAATTGTAAAGTGTATGTACATATTATGTAAATTGAAATTGTCCCGATAACTATTCGGTGAGAATAAGCCCTTAAATACATTTCTCTCTCTCTTTCTCTCTAGGTAACAGACGGCATAGCTACCACTCAGTGTGGTCGTCTAGTTTGAAGAGCAGCTTCATGGCGATGATGATCAGGGCAGCAGCCTGGACATCGTAGTGTGGGAGAGGGGATCTGGACCTCATGGGTTCAAAGGTCACGGACGACTCCATACCAGCCTTCTCCATGATCCTGCACACCCAGTCATGCAGCTCATCTGAAAGAAAAAAATATAAATATTGGTTGAATCAAATCAAATCAAATTTTATTGGTCACATGCGCGAATACAACAGGTGCAGACATTACAGTGAAATGCTTACTTACAGCCCTTAACCAACAGTGCATTTATTTAAAAAAAATTAAAAAATAAAACAACAAAAAAAGTGTTGAGGAAAAAAAAAGAGCAGAAGTAAAATAAAGTGACAGTAGGGAGGCTATATAAACAGGGGGGTACCGTTGCAGAGTCAATGTGCGGGGGCACCGGCTAGTTGAGGTAGTTGAGGTAATATGTACATGTGGGTAGAGTTAAAGTGACTATGCATAAATACTTAACAGAGTAGCAGCAGCGTAAAAAGGATGGGGTGGGGGGGCAGTGCAAATAGTCCGGGTAGCCATGATTAGCTGTTCAGGAGTCTTATGGCTTGGGGGTAGAAGCTGTTGAGAAGTCTTTTGGACCTAGACTTGGCACTCCGGTACCGCTTGCCGTGCGGTAGCAGAGAGAACAGTCTATGACTAGGGTGGCTGGAGTCTTTGACAATTTTGAGGGCCTTCCTCTGACACCGCCTGGTATAGAGGTCCTGGATGGCAGGAAGCTTTGCCCCAGTGATGTACTGGGCCGTACGCACTACCCTCTGTAGTGCCTTGCGGTCGGAGGCCAAGCAGTTGCCATACCAGGCGGTGATGCAACCAGTCAGGATGCTCTCGATGGTGCAGCTGTAGAATTTTGAGAGGATCTGAGGACCCATGCCAAATCTTTTTAGTCTCCTGAGGGGGAATAGGCTTTGTCGTGCCCTCTTCACGACTGTCTTGGTGTGTTTGGACCATGATAGTTCGTTGGTGATGTGGACACCAAGGAACTTGAAGCTCTCAACCTGTTCCACTACAGCCCCGTCGATGAGAATGGGGGCGTGCTCAGTCCTCTTTTTTTTCCTGTAGTCCACAATCATCTCCTTTGTCTTGGTCACGTTGAGGGAGAAGTTGTTGTCCTGGCACCACACGGCCAGATCTCTGACCTCCTCCCTATAGGCTGTCTCATCGTTGTCGGTGATCAGGCCTACCACTGTTGTGTCGTCGGCAAACTTAATGATGGTGTTGGAGTCGTGCCTGGCCATGCAGTCATGGGTGAACAGAGAGTACAGGAGGGGACTGAGCACGCACCCCTGAGGGGCCCCCGTGTTGAGGATCAGTGTGGCAGATGTGTTGTTACCTACCCTTACCACCTGGGGGCGGCCCGTCAGGAAGTCCAGGATCCAGTTGCAGAGGGAGGTGTTTAGTCCCAGGATCCTTAGCTTAGTGATGAGCTTAGAGGGCACTATGGTGTTGAATGCTGAGCTGTAGTCAATGAATAGCATTCTCACGTAGGTGTTCCTCTTGTCCAGGTGGGAAATGGCAGTGTGGAGTGCGATAGAGATTGCATCATCTGTGGATCTGTTGGGGCGGTATGCAAATTGAAGTGGGTCTAGGGTTTCTGGGATAATGCTGTTGATGTGAGCCATGACCAGCCTTTCAAAGCACTTCATGGCTACAGACGTCAGTGCTACGGGTCGGTAGTCATTTAGGCAGGTTATCTTAGAGTCCTTGGGCACGGGGACTATGGTGGTCTGCTTGAAACATGTTGGTATTACAGACTCAGTCAGGGACATGTTGAAAATGTCAGTGAAGACACTTGCCAGTTGGTCAGCACATGCTCGGAGTACACGTCCTGGTAATCCGTCTGGCCCTGCGGCCTTGTGAATGTTGACCTGCTTAAAAGTCTTACTCACATCGGCTACGGAGAGCGTGATCACATAGTCATCCGGAACAGCTGGTGCTCTCATGCATGCTTCAGTGTTGCTTGCCTCGAAGCGAGCATAGAAGTGGTTTAGCTCGTCTGGTAGGCTTGTGTCACTGGGCAGCTCGCGGCTGTGCTTCCCTTTGTAGTCTGTAATAGTTTTCAAGCCCTGCCACATCCGACGAGCGTCAGAGCCAGTGTAGTACGATTCAATCTTAGACCTGTATTGACTCTTTGCCTGTTTGATGGTTCGTCGGAGGTCATAGCGGGATTTCTTATAAGCGTCCGGGTTAGAGTCCCGTTCCTTGAAAGCGGCAGCTCTACCCTTTAGCTCAGTGCGGATGTTTCCTGTAATCCATGGCTTCTGGTTGGGGTATGTACGTACGGTCACTGTGGGGACGACATCATCGATGCACTTATTGATGAAGCCAGTGACTGATGTGGTGTACTCCTCAATGCTGTCTGAAGAATCCCGGAACATGTTCCAGTCTGTGCTAGCAAAACAGTCCTGTAGCTTAGCATCTGCGTCATCTGACCACTTTTTTATTAACCGAGTCACTGGTGCTTCCTGCTTTAGTTTTTGCTTATAAGCAGGAATCAGGAGGATAGAGTTATGGTCAGATTTGCCAAATGGAGGGCGAGGGAGAGCTTTGTATGCGCCTCTGTGTGTGGAGTAAAGGTGGAATAACTTGTGTTAAGAATGAGTTGCACGTTGTGTAAAGTGCCAAAAAATAAATATAAAAGAGGAACACAGGTATAAACAAGTACTGGTGTCTCCTCTTTAAAAAGTGACTGACACAAATAAACCAACAGACAACAACAAAAAGAGTTAAGAGTGTGTTGTTGGCTTGGCAGACCCACCGGGCAGGTTGGCTTCGGTAAGGTAGCGGACAGTGAGCAGGGTGGGGTGCAGCAGGCAGTCCAGGGTGATGGGGGGGAAGAGGGGTAGCTCCAGGAACACAGCCAGGGTCTGGGCCTCCTTGTGCAGGTGGCTATAAGAGGGGATAGACTAGGGAACACGCATACGCACACACACACACACACACATACACACACAGTTATTTGATCTAGTCTTCTATGCAATTAATTCCTTTGGAGGATCGGGATAAGATTTCAAGACAAGATATGCAAATGCAGAGCGGGGTAGCAGGTGTATTGGTGTGTGGGGACAAGCAGCAGTTTCTCTTGCACCTGAGCCAACATTCTGATGTCTTCATACATGTTTCAATGAGGGTAGCGTGGTACAGTGGTCTGACAACAAAACTACAGAACAAGATGTAGGTTGTGCAAAACCACATCATTCGCTATCTGCTTAATGTACCCACCAGAACACATGTTGGGAGTACATGAATTCCAAGCAGTGGGTCTGTTGCCTAGATGAAGCTTAACCACATATATAAGACCATTAGCGGTACTGCTCCTGACTACTTAGGCTCACAGATAGCGAATGGTTCATACTCAACATGGCCACAACACAAGACCCAGTGTGCCAAGAGTTAATAGTATGGCATGGAACTCATTCTTCTACATTGGGATTTTGTTGTGGAATGCCTATTAAACTGTCGCAGTCCAGGTTTTTTTAAAAGGACAGGTTAAAGCTCAATGGAGAATGTTGATTAGCTCCTAGTGTCACTGAAAGGCATTTATGCCTCTGCTACATCAGAAATGTGAAGGCAGAGGTCTGGTCCCAAGGCCATCTGAGCGTTATAATTTTATTGATAACGATGTAGATTTATTGATGTATAATGCATTTAGAGTCCAGGAGGACAAATGACGGGATCACGATAGGTTGACTGTACTTTTATTTTCCTGTCTCTTAAATTTTTTGGTAATTAATTTGTTCTATGCTGTGTGATGCAGAGCGATTACAGTTGTTTTCTTTTGTTTAGTCTGTATTCCATCAGGGACCACGTTGGACAAAAGTGGAATCGCTTTAATGTGTTCTCCCCTAGGTTGCACTCAGTGCATCTTTTTCCCAATAAATCAACAACTAATGTACGCTCTCACCTCCACTCTGAAGATGAGTGAGTCTCGGCCGTAGAGCCTCATCTCCTCTGGGAAGCCCTCGTAGGCGTTCACATAGGGGATGTGGCCCTCATTCACAAACCTGCCCAACAGAGAGAGAGAGAGACTCAATAGGCAGGGACACAAAGCAGGAAACCTGAGATTTACTTCCCGTTTTTTAAAAACCTTTAACCTACATTTAATCACGGTTAGTCTTAATGAAATAAAATCTCTTCTGCAAGGGAGATCAGGATCACAAATGGTAAAGTTTTTATATATTAAATTCAATCCAACTTTCTTAATCTCCTCTTCCACCCATGTTTCCGCCATCTCCCCATGGCCCTGACCTGAGCAAATCTGCCAGTGTGATGGCCTCTCTGGCCCACAGCAGGGCCAGGTGGCACAGTGCCAGGGTCTTGGGCATGCTCATCAACCCCTGGCTCCTTCTCTGGCGTGGGGTCAGGTACGAGACCGCATCAACAGAACCGGAACACACTGAGGAGACTCCGTCACTGGTGTGACCTGGGGAGCACACACACATATAGGAAAACACACACACACGTTAGCATACACATACACACACAGGGGAACATACACACAGATGTGTCCGCACACACACAGATGCATGCACACTCACAGATATAATGACTATGTGTGGCTAGTGTGCTGGGATTGGCTGTTCAGCGTGCCTGTGTGGTTTAATGTACCTGAAACAGAGCCTCCTCCACTGGCCCAGTCTCCATCCCCGTCTGTCTCACTGGCAGACATCATAGAGTCACTCATCACTGACGACTCTGGAGCACTTTCTGACTCCCCAGAGCCCTGAGAACGCTAGGGAGGGCCACAAGAAAAAACACACAAAATAAATGATACCGCAACCAAAGGAGGGTGAGGTCTGTGTAGGTGTACTTTTATCATCTGAGAGCTGCAAACATGTAACTAAACGTATCCAATCTAAAGCACACATTGAGTGAATGTCTCATCGACCGTCCGCCACAAGGGGCCGAAAATAGACGGGGAAAGTTTGTCACTTCAACAGAAAGTGCTATTTTGCTTGCAGTGATGAGAATACTGACCAGTCTAAATTTCCCATCATGCACAGGATTCTTGGTGTAGGCCTGTCGGCTCTTCTGTAGGTACATTCTCCAAAACTGACACAGCACGTCATCCTACAAAACACAGACCATACAAGACATTTACAGAACATGTTAAGTGTCTTTACATTGATGTAAAATAGCATTATTTGGTTTTCCTTTCCGGTTTCTCTGAGACGGATTAAACGTTTCAATGGAGATGATCTATTGAGCATGCTTTTTAGTCCAGGACTACTAGGCTTAATCTGTGTCCGGGAAACCGCCCTTCTGTGTTCCCTCTGACAGACCTTGAACTGTGGGCAGACTCCCATGGCCAGAAGAGCCTCAGCCTGATGCTTCAGGATGAACTGAAAGCCCTCACACACCATCCACTCTCGCCCTTGCTCTGAAACGCACACAAAGTCAGGCATATATACAGTTGAAGTCAGAAGTTTACATACACCTTAGCCAAATACATTTAAACTCAGTTTTTCACAATTCCTGACATTTAAAACTAGTAAAAATTCCCTGTCTTAGGTCAGTTAGGATCACCACTTTATTTTAAGAATGTGAAATGTCAGAATAATAGTAGAGAGAATGATTTATTTCAGCTTTTATTTCTTTCATCACATTCCCAGTGGGTCAGAAGTTTACATACACTCAATTAGTATTTGGTAGCATTGCCTTTAAATTGTTTAACTTGGGTCAAACGTTTTGCGTAGCCTTCCACAAGCTTCCCACAATAAGTTGGGTGAATTTTGGCCCATTCCTCCTAACAGAGCTGGTGTAACTGAGTCAGGTTTGTAGGCCTCCTTGCTCGCACACGCTTTTTCAGTTCTGCCCACACATTTTCTATGGGATTGAGGTCAGGGCTTTGTGATGGCCGCTCCAATACCTTGACTTTGTTGTCCTCAAGCCATTTTGCCACAACTCTGGAAGTATGCTTGGGATCATTGTCCATTTGGAATACCCATTTGCGACCAAGCTTTAACTTCCTGACTGATGTCTTGAGATGTTGCTTCAATATATCCACATAATTTTGCTTCCTCATGATGCCATCTATTTTGTGAAGTGCACCAGTCCCTCCTGCAGCAAAGCACCCCCACAGCATGATGCTGCCACCCCGTGCTTCACGGTTGGGATGGTGTTCTTCGGCTTGCAAGCAACCCCCTTTTTCCTCCAAACGTAACGATGGTCATTATGGCCAAACAGTTCTATTTTTGTTTCATCAAACCAGAGGACATTTCTCCAAAAAGTACGATCTGTGTCCCCATGTGCAGTTGCAAACCGTAGTCTGGCTTTTTTATGGCGGTTTTGGAACAGTTGCTTCTTCCTTGCTGAGCGGCCTTTCAGGTTATGTCGATATAGGACTCGTTTTACTGTGGATATAGATTACTTTTGTACCTGTTTCTTCCAGCATCTTCACAAGGTCCTTTGTTGTTCTGGGATTGATTTGCACTTTTCGCACCAAAGTACGTTCATCTCTAGGAGACAGAACGCGTCTCCTTCCTGAGCGGAATGACGGCTGCGTGGTCCCATGGTGTTTATACTTGCGTACTATTGTTTGTACAGATGAACGTGGTACCTTCAGTCGTTTGGAAATTGCTCCCAAGGATGAACCAGACTTGTGGAGGTCTACAATTTTTTTTATGAGGTCTTGGCTGATTTCTTTTGATTTTCCCATGATGTCAAGCAAAGAGGCACTGAGTTTGAAGGTAGGCCTTGAAATACATCCACAGGTACACCTCCAATTGACTCAAATGATGTCAATTAGCCTATCAGAAGCTTCTAAAGCCATGACATAATTTTCTGGAATTTTCCAAGCTGTTTAAAGGCACAGTCAACTTAGTGTATGTAAACTTCTGACCCACTGGAATTGTGATACAGTGAATTATAAGTGAAATAATCTGTCTGTAAACAATTGTTGGAAAAATTACTTGTGTCATGCACAAAGTAGATGTCCTAACCGACTTGCCAAAACTATAGTTTGTTAACAAGAAATTTGTGGAGTGGTTGAAAAACGAGTTTAAATAACTCCAACCTAAGTGTACATAAACTTCCGACTTCAACTGTACAACAACCAACAAAAACACAATCAAAATGATTTGCTTGTAGGAATTAATGACATACGAGAGTGGAGACCAACCTAGTTTTTTCCTTTTGGTTCCCTTGGAGATGGAGGACACTCTGCTGGTACCAATCATAAAGGTATTTGTATCCACCACTTCTTTTGTTCTCTGTGTACAGAAGTTGAGGAAAAATACAATTGTTGTCCATGTGTACATCCCAAATGGCACCCTACTAACTAGTACACTACCTTGACCAGGGCCCATAGGGCTACGGTCAAAGGTAGTGCACCAAATGGGGAATGGGACCATGACTGCTTCAACATGAACCAATCTTGAATATGAGTTAAATATGAGTGCTTACCTCGATGACATTATGACAGGACCTGCAGTAGAACCGACCCTCGTCCGACACCCCCCAGTCCACTTCTCCACACTGGCCACAGATCTCACTGTAGCCCCCCTATATCAAATCCAATTTTATATGGCACATCATGCATCATATTACATACACATTGTATTACATACACAGAGACATATATACAGATATATATATAGAGTCATGGGTCACTGTCACATGTCTATAGGCACACAGGTGACCAGGAACTGTAAGCAGGGATGCTGCAGTATGACGAGAGCATAGAGTCACAGATAGAACAATGGGACAGATATTTCACCAGTTGGTGGTGAGAGGAAGCCAAGTGGCCGGCAGTGGGAGAAAATGGAGCGAGATGGATTTTGGCCGACATTCTACAAATGTTCTAATCCATGAAACATTTAAATCTCAATACAGTTTTCTGTTTCCCAAACTAGAATCTGTTACGAACAGAGTGATCAATGTTTTGTAGACTTTACCCTTTGCCAAGTTTAACAAAAATTGCATTGTTTAGAAGGAGTGCAATGGCGTATTGAGTAATTGCACTACGCGCACTTCAGAGAGTAGGCGTTCCCTAACGGAAATATGCAAATACATGCTAGAAAGCGCCAATAGGCTCTCGCTAGCTCGTGCTTGGCTCTACCCACCTCCTTCCTTGTTCTGCCCACTATGATTAATTTGCTCCCATTGGAAAAGACAGGCTGTGGTATGCGGTGAAACCGTATGTACAGAAGCCACTGCGGTGTTACAATTGTAAAAAGTTTGGACACGTGGCAAGTGTTTGTCGAAGGAATAAATATGTCGTAGTTGAAGAGTCAGATGAAGTATATTGCTGTAATTGTGATGGGAATCACGTTCCCGAGTTCCCGGAGTGCCCTGTAAGGATGAAGGAGGTCGCAGTAGCTAGGATCTGGGCTATCCAGCAGGTCTCCTATGTGGAGGCAGTGAAAATAGATGAAGGAGTGAGTAGAGATGATATGGTAGTGGATGTCCCACAGTCTGCAGTGAATGCCATGCAGGGGAAGGATCCCAACACACTAACAATGAAGAAGGTGGACTTTGTTGCGTTTACAGCGCAAGTGCTAAATTGTACTAGTCAAACGATTAAAACATTTTAAGAAGCTAGACATCATTGTGAAGGAGGCAAATAGAGTTCTGGATCTCCAGGACTTTACAACCGAAATGTTACAGGGAATACTGAATGAAGAGGTTCCACCTCCCAGGGGGGTTGTTAGAAATTCAGGGTTAGCTACAGTACCAGTCAAAAGTTTGGACACACCAACTCATTCAAGGGTTTTTCTTTATTTTTTACTATTTTCTACATTGCAGAATAATAAGAAGACATCAAAACTATGAAATAACACATATGGAATCATGTAGTAACCAAAAAAGTGTTAAACAAATCAAAAAATATATTTTAGATTCTTCAAAGTAGCCACCCTTTGCCTTGATGACAGCTTTGCACACTCTTGGCATTCTCTCAACCAGCTTCATGAGGAATGCTTTTCCAACAGTCTTGAAGGAGTTCCCACATATGCTGAGCACTTGTTGGCTGCTTTTCCTTCACTCTGCGGTCCAACTCATTCCAAACCATCTCAATTGGGTTGAGGTCGGGTGATTGTGGAGGCCAGGTCAACTGATGCAGCACTCCATCACTCTCCTTGGTCAAATAGCCCTCATACAGCCTGGAGGTGTGTTTTTGGGTCATTGTCCTGTTGAAAAACAAATGATAGTCCCACTAAGGACAAACCAGATGGGATGGCGTATCACTGCAGAATGCTGTGATAGCCATGCTGGTTAAGTGTGCCTTGAATTCTAAATAAATCACTGACAGTGTCACCAGCAAAGCACCCCCACACCATCACACCTCCTCCTCCATGCTTCACGGTGGGAACCACACATGCGGAGATCATCCGTTCACCTACTCTGCGTCTCACAAAGACACAGCGGTTGGAACCAAAAATCTCACATTTGGACTCATCAGACCAAAGGACAGATTTCCACCGGTCTAATGTCCATTGCTCGTGTTTCTTGGCCCAAGCAAGTCTCTTCTTATTATTGGTGTCCTTTAGTAGTGGTTTCTTTGCAGAAATTCTACCATGAAGGCCTGATTCACGCAGTCTCCTCTGAACAGTTGATTATGAGATGTGTCTGTCACTTGAACTCTGAAGCATTTACTTGGGCTGCAATTTCTGAGGCTGGTAACTCTAATGAACTTATCCTCTGCAGCAGAGGTAACTCTGGGTCTTCCTTTCCTGTGGCAGTCCTCATGAGAGCCAGTTTCATCATAGCGCTTGATGGTTTTTGTGACTGCACTTGAAGAAACGTTCAAAGTTTTTGAAGTTTTCCAGATTGACTGACCTTCATGTCTTAAAGTAATGATGGACTGTCATTTCTCTTTGCTTATTTGAGCTGTTCTTGCCATAATATGGACTTGGTATTTTACCAAATAGGGCTATCTTCTATATACCCCCTCTACCTTGTCACAACACAACTGATTGGCTCAAACACATTAAGAAGGAAAGAAATTCCACAAATTAACTTTTAACAAGGCACACCTGTTAATTGAAATGTATTCCAGGTGACTACCTCATGAAGCTGGCTGAGAGAATGCCAAGAGTGCGCAACGCTGTCATCAAGGCAAAGGGTGGCTACTTTGAAGAATATTAAATATATTTTGATTTGTTTATCACATTTTTAGTTACTACATGATTCCATATGTGTTATTTCATAGTTTTGATGTCTTCACTATTATTATACAATGTAGAAAATAGTAAAAATAAAGAAAACCCCTGGAATGCGTAGGTGTGTCCAAACCTTTGACTGGTACTGTAGTTAAGAGAAAATAGTTTGTGGTATAGACAGGTCGTGACCGGCCTCACATTCCAGTACAGTTGGTGGCAGTCTATGCACCTGTCAGTTGTTTGCGATCCGCGAATACAAACTCGAAGAAGAAGACAGACCGCGGTCTATCTTTGGTTAGTTATAAAAATCGTTGATACAGTTCTTACCGTCAACATATTTTGAACTATTATAACTGCTATGCGCCTATGGTAAAATCTTCCATTAAGGAGTTCTTAAATGTTTTACCTTACCTGCTAATACATGGGCAAAAGACAGATCGAAAGATCTTGCACGCTCTAATGAACATTTTCAATCCCAACTGAGCTAGTGGCTAAAAAAGTTACCTTTGTCCAGGTTAGATAGCCACTAACGTTCCAACAAGATAATGGTTTTCAGATAAATCTGACTAGGTTAGATAGCCACTAACGTCACAACAAGTTAATGTTTTTCAGATAAATCTGGCAGGTATAAAAGTTAAAATTAGCGAAAAACTATAATAAGTTATACTTGTACAACCTACCGTTTGTTCTTCGTCCATTTTCACACACTATAGCTTGTTTCACATCAGATAACTCTCACATGTTGGTTTATTGTGGGGGAATAGGAACTTCCTGTGTGTTACCAATACATCCATCCGACAGGAATCAACATTATTTTACTGTGCAACACAAGCACATGTACAAAAACGTGTTGCCAAGGGGTATATATAAAAAAAATAATAAAGAAATGGTTTTATACTATATCTGAACTACAGAGAATAAAACAATTACAGATATTCAATATAAAAAAAGTGTTTTAGCCTGCTCATTCAGGTGGGTTGCAAGTCCAATGTCTGATGTCTCCCTATAGAGGGCGACATTGACTGCAAGAGAATGAGAGCGTACTGTTTGTTGTAGCTTGTAGTTATCACCTGAGTCATCCATTACAGTAATTGTTGTGCTTGTCCATAGCTGAGGGCTCTGCTTTATTAGCGCCCTGCTTTACTTGATTATGCTCTCATAAACTACTTCTGGTCATGAGTTGGTGTATGTGTGTGGGTGGCGTTGGTGCTGATTGTACTGTGTGGTGTGACAGGATTGGAGCTAGCACCATGGAAACCACAAGAAAGAAGAAGAGGGTGTGTAGATGGATTCATTGTTTGGTAAATCCATTTGTACGTATAAGTATAGCTTGAGTCAAACATTCAGACATCAGAATTCTTCTTATATTACTCCAGTTAATCATGCCAAAGTCTATAAACTTGGGCTCCCGAGTGGCGCAGTGGTCTAAGGCACTGCATCTCAGTGCTTGAGGCGTCACTACAGACCCCCTGGTTCGATTCCAGGCTGTATAACAACCGGCCGTGATTGGGAGTCCCATAGGGCGGCGCACAATTGGCCCAGTGTCTTCCGGGTTTGGCCGGTGTAGGCCGTCATTGTAAATAAGAATTTGTTCTTAACTGACTTGCCTAGTTAAATAAAGGTAAAATAAAATAAAAAATACATACGGCCATCTGACCCTGAATACTCATCAGTGGAGGCTGCTGAAGGGAGGATGTGGTTGATACCATTCCATTGACTCCATTCCAGCCATTATTATGAGCCGTTCTCCCCTCAGAAGCCTCCACTGATACTCATTCACTACTTCCCACAAATCTGAAAGCATTGGATTGGTGGAGGCATGAGCTAGAGAGAGTTTCCACCATATTTCTTATACCAGCCATTTCCATTCAAATAAGTTAAGGGAAGTGAACAAGTGCACACTTTGGGAGAAAGGAGAGATAACCGGGACATAGCCACAGACGTCCGCGATGGCTCTGTTGTTTCTGTTGACAAAACAACAGAGCCATCTGGAGAGTGTTTATGTGGGCTTTGTTATGTTTTTGCAGATACAGAAACTACGTCCCAAATGGCACCCTATTCCCTATATCCCTCAAACTCAACTCTTCAACTCTGGACCTCGAAGCCAGTTCCACTGCATGTTTTCATTGTTCCCCTCTAATCTGATTTAGACCTGGGAAACCAGATGTGTGCAATGAATTATCAGCTAGAACAGAAAGCCAGCAGGCTCCGGACCTCGTAGGGTAAGAGTTGAATACCCCTGCCCTATATAGTGCACTACTTTTAGTTAGCGCCCTATGGGCCCTGGATAAAAGTATTGTACTTAATAGGGAATACGGTGCCATTTGGGAATGCAGACCAAGTGGGCTATGCTTCTCTTCCACAGGATAATTTTTTATCAGGTTTGAGTCAGAGCTCACTGTTGCCGGCTGGCTGAATTTAATCCTCCATCCCTAAGAGCAACATTAATTATTAACACCACTTTCCCTTGTAATGACACAGGAGTCACTTTTGACCGGGACCCATAGGGCAACCTATTACCTATATAGTGCCTGTTGTTAGAACAAGGGTGTGATGGCTGGCGGTGGTGTGTTTTAAGTTAAACCAAGCCTACTTTTTGTGAGCTCCCCTAGTCTTTCCTGTCGATTCCCACAGCAGAGCTGCCTGAATGTGAGATGCCTGCCTGCCTTAGCCTCCAAAGGAACCAATTTTATGGTTTGCTGCACCTCAGGCTGACTACAGCATTATTTATGCAAAGCAAAACCCAGTTGTCTATGGAAATCAGTAACAGTCAGTAACTGCCTGTCTGTGTGCCTGCCTGTCTTCCTGCCTGCCACCATGCCTGCCTGTCTCCCTGCCCGCCTACATACCACGAACACAGGACAGTTTGAAATGCACTGCTGATGCTCTCACTGTGGTCCAGCAGATTTTCGATTCCTTTTGTGTTTCACAGATGGTGGAGGAGGAGGAGGAGATGGGCGTAGGTTGTCAGGTGATGTAGGCTTTGTGATAAGTCTGTTGGAAAATCCCACAGAAATGAGGCATCCGGAGTCTGCTAGCCTAGCGTTGCATGCCACAGTCATAAACATGTCAGTCTTTTTCATTCCCTCTCTCTCTCTCTATCACCACCCACTCCCACTCTGCACAATGATAATGGCTCTACAGCTGCAGCATGGGGCTTTTTATTTTTTACTCTCTTCACCTCGGGCTGTGGGAATGTGTGTCCTCCTAGTCTCTCAATTGAACATTTACTAAAATTAAAAAAACAACAGCAACATTCTCTGAATCCTTTACATATGTGAACAATACATTCTTTACACACACACAGAGTTGTGGTAGGGTGATTTGAGTCACACATTCCAGGGCCCTGAGGTTAAGGTCTGTGGCATGTTTCCGGGGTGAGGTCATGTGGGAACACAACACAACACGGACATCTGTGGCTATGTCCCAGTTATCCCTCCCTTCTCCCAAAGTGTGCACTTGTTCACTTAACTGATTTGAAAGGAAATGGCTGGGATAAGAAATATGGTGGAAACTCCCTCCAGCAATCCAATGCTTTCAGATTTGTGGGAAGTAGTGAACGACTGCTGGAACAGGAAGGGAACCATCCCCAGGGAGTCTGTACTGTCTGTAAGAGTAACTCTACTGGAGACTAAAATAGACGTTCAGACTTAGAGACTAACAACCCAAAGCAGAATTATTGTTCCATCTCTTTCATTTACAGTAAATCACCTTGGAGCAGCGCCAAAACCCACAACATGTACTGTTATTGTTATAATAGCGTTATTATAATAACCCACCTAATTAATCGTATTAGTGTTCTCATGTTACAGGGCCTTGATGTCGGGTCGTGTAATATATTCACTGACAAGCACCCTCAGATGTGGTAATAAAAGAGGAAGATCGGCTGGCTGATGAAAGAGGGCGAGGTGTTTTCATGTATCTGTTTCCCAATTCAGCACTGGGTATGGCTCCAGCCTGCAGCCCACCACTCTGCTGCTGGGTCGGGCTGGTCGCCATAGCAACCAGGGATGGGGAGCTCAGCCTCAGCAGCAGAGGGTCTCAAAACTGATCAGATTCAGAATGATAAAAACGTACTGTATGTAGTGACTTTATCTATTAGGATCCATTTTGTCACAAGTTAGAATTGTTTATTGTAGCTTATTGCAGTAATTGTATCCAAAACATCAGTGTTTGTAACATGTGTGTGGCAGTGAGAACAACATGAACAAAAAGAGCCCGTAGTGTCCATCCATACTGATTACGTATGGTAGATTTTATAGTTATGGAAACCTAGCTGTTGGATTGCAGGATCACTACAATGGTTTCAGGTCATATTTTGAGTGGTACTTATTTGTGGCACTGTCCTCTACTCTACTGCATAGAAAGTGAATGAGAGTTCACCATATTTAGAGATGAACAATTTCAGACATGTCAGAGGTATTTCAGACATTTCAGAGGTAGCTAGGTAGTAATGCCAGTTACTGTCTGAAGAGGGAGTTGTCTCTCAGGGATACCACCAATCACGCTCACAATCCTTCTGTTCTCTCTCCACCCCCCCCCCCCCCCCCCCCCCCCCCCCACACACACACACCTCTCTCTCACTCTCTCGCTCTCAATACCTCTCTTCTCTCTCCAACCCCCCTCCATTTACCCACTCCACCTCTCTCTCAGTCTCTCTCTCTCTCTTCCCCTGCCAGACCTGTTCCTCAAAGACAAGACAGGCACATTCCCGTTCTGGAGTTCCGGAACAACACAGGAGAAGAAAGTTCCAGAACATTCCCGGAGTCAGGTCTGGACAGGATTCAGCCCCCCCCTTTAGTGAAAACATTAGCACTGTGCTAGTGTCATCACCAGTAAGTAACACCTCCTCCTGTGACTCTTCAGATGACCTACAGAAACCTTTATTTTTGGTACTATAACTCAACTGTATATACAAACACAAACACCCACAGCTAATGGAATTGGATACAAAAAGCCAAGTAGCCATGTTATGTTGACACCATATCATCCTCCCCCCTAAATCTCTCTGCCCCCCCTCCCCCTTTCTCTCTCTCACCTCATTTTCATTCATGACACCCACTCTCACCCATTTTTAGGAAATTGTTTGTGTTATGACATTGTGAATCATACAAAGTGCTGATATTCTCTGTAACGTCCCTGCCCCACCCCACATTGTCATAGTCTACATTAAATGTCAACTGGAGGAATGGGTGGGGGAATTTCCCTGCATGGCTGCACTCAACAGCTCCTCCACACATCTGGCCCCTGGGCTAAAGGCTCTCCTCAGCAGGCACAGCTTGATGGACTGGTAGAGTAGACCTGAACCCTTCCCTATGGAGTAGACCTGAACTCCATGGGGCTCTGGTAAAAAGTAGGCCTGATAGTAGAAATTCCCTCACAGCCTTGTCACCTCGCCCCCTCTTTTATTTACATTTCATCCTACTTGAGAACCTATAGAAGGGATAGGTCTGAGTGGACGTGTAGTGGCACAGTGCAGTGACCCCACCCCTGTCACTCTGGAATAAATGACCTCACCTCAGCGTGGCCATTAGTCACTCTGGCTGTCAGGCTATTTGCCCAGGCCTCTATGTACAGTATCTATCGCCACCACCATAAGAGACAAACCGATCCAAATATGAACAGGATCAGACTGACTGCAAGTATTTTCCTCTCTCTCTTTCCCCGGTATTTCTCCGGTCTCTCCCCAGTCTCTCTCTCTCTGTCTTCCTCTGTCTCTCTGGCTCTGGCGCTCTCTCTTTCATTCATACACCGGGGAAGACCACAA